TTCGTCCGACCCTTACTGAAATGGACGCAGCCACCGATCAGTAAAGTTATCCTTCGAGGAGGTCAGTGACTTCTCTGAACTGTTCGAGATTATAAATGGAATTGACGAAAATGTTAAATTCGTCTTTGACGATGAAGGGAAGGAGCTACTCGGAGAGAAAATGGACGAGTTCGTGGCTGAGGTCGATGAAGCCATCAGAGATAGGAAAGTGCCACCCACATCAAAGACGCCAGAACTTATCCAAACAATAGCAAAGCACAAAGCACAACAAAGCACAATTACCAGAAATGCAGTAATGTTTACCGGACAATTGTTACGGATAACTGATCAATACACCACGACAATTACCTGTCTCATGGTTACTTGCATTGTTTTACATGAGTTTCTTCTCCTTTTTCAGTTTCTTAAAGAAGTCATAAAACGCAGTTTGTGATAAAACCATCGATCAGCCCACCACACAAACGGTCAAGGGCAACGTCTTGATCACCCAAGGCCCTGTGGTCTCCTATCGGTCCTTCAAACATGGCAAAAGATCAGCGCGTGCAATTGCCGAAAGTGAATTTAACACCACAACAGAATCATTAATGCAAGATGGCTTTGGAAGAATTGTGGAATTTAGAATTCCTCGAGCAAGAAGCACCTGCAAGGTATTTGTGAAAAGCAAGCCAAACCCTTGGCAGAACTGTACGAATGTCAGTGTAAACGAATTTGACAATGCCTTGGCCAAGCCTCTATATAATGATATCACAGTTCCAATGAGACAGTATCTTCAAGCCAATAATTACATCTCGAATTAGCAATATTTAAATCAAATCAATTTCTGTACGACAAGCGACGATTACATTGAAGTGTATATAATCAATCAAACCCACTCACCGAGGACTGCCATCCTTCCATGAAGAAGCAACGCTTTCAGGAACTTGTCCACCAGGTTCAAACTATCTCTTGCATTGCGCATGTGTGCGTAGCAGGCAAGACGCTCATTTCGAAGTTCTTCACTCTTGATTAGTTTTTGAGACTCAAATTTGCTGAAACCTTGACCAAAATGGTAAAAGACACAGTCCAATCATTGAAACTGGAAAATGACAAGTTAAAAGATAAGATTCAAGAAATTTGTGCTGAATTACGCAACCTACGAAACGAAGTTAAAGCTGAACGAAATGGCGGCCATGCCAGTTCATCTGAAGGCACCGATGAGGGAAACACTACGGCAACTCCGAACAGCATCCAAGACTTTAAGAAATATGTTAACGACAGGATGTCTCTTATTGAAAAATCTTTGGAACGCTAGTCATCTCAAGCGGATAAAATATCATCTTCATTGGATCAAGCATTGGAATATTCGTATTCATACAACATCAAGCTTGAAGTTAAGCAACGAGAAAGCGCCGGAGATATGCTGGAACTTTGCATGAGAATCTTCCACAAAATTGGAGCTGAAATTCATCCTTATGACCTTGACATTGCCCATCGAGTGCCATCTCGTAACACGTCTGATGGTCGACCGAAACCGATTATTTGTAAATTTACTCGGCGCATCGCCCGTGAAAGTGTTATGGCAGCCCGTAGAGAAGTAAACAGGATCGTTCCTGCTGATATTGGTCTCCGAGAAAGCTCATCTTTAGAACATGCTGCTATCTACGATCACCTCTCCCCACGACTGCAGAGTTTATTATCTGACGCCAAGAAAATAAGGGAAAGATTTCTCTTCTCATTTTGTTGGGCCAAGAACTCAACCATCTGGCTGCGGAAAAATGAAACCTCTCGTCCGAATGAAGTTTTACCTATTCGCAGACGATACGAATCTTTTATATTCAGATAAAAACCTAATATCCCTGGAATCTACGGTAAACGATGAGCTCTGTAAGCTTTACGACTGGGTTTCTATAATGATCTATAATGGTATCAATGATTTATCACCGTTCATTCACAAGAACGTTTTTATTCGTTTGTTTGATAAATAAAAAAATGAGTTTATGTTGCAGCATTTAGTACAATATCCATCTCAGATGGGCTTTGATATTTCTGTTGTACTGTTATAGGTCACTTAGAAGCCAGGTTTGGGAAAAAAAAATCTTGGTTTTTGTTGTAAATGTAGCTTTTTACGACCAACCAACCAGTAACCTCGTAACTATTAAACGAAAGGAGTCTCAGTCTCGCATTTTACAAAGACAACAAGTTCGGAAATGCAAAGAAAAATGCTAATCTTTTCATCTCATATTCACCACTTCCAAAATACAATGTTTTCTGACAATCCAAAAAGCAACTACTGAACTTAGTGTTGGTCTCACATATAAACTGTCTAAAATGAAAAGGCTGTTCAATTACCTGGCGGTGAAAGCACTTAACTCCAAATCTACAACTTGGAAACTCTTTTCAGTTGGGCTGTTACAGGTATCTCAAATTTCCTCTTCTCTTACATGAAAGGGCAATCACGAACCAAATAGAAATGCAGTAAACTACTGTGGTACAATCATTCGACAAATAACAATCCAAAAGATTGCTCCGTCTTTATTGTGGTTTGATCGCACATCTCATTAGGAAACCATGACGCTGATGTATTGTAATTTTGTAAAATTATTCCAAAACACGATTTTCCACGGTGAATCACAGACCCTCCTTCCCTGATTTTTCTTGAGGGGAGAGGTGTCTGCATATGGGCTAACTGTCATTAGTGTTTATTATGTTTTAGTGACAGTCAAGAAAGATGAACTCCGATTGAGGGCAAACGTGTAGCAATGTTGAGTACATAGCAACAACATTTCAACTTGTTTGATCACCGTGAAAACAGATCAATACAAGTTTTGGCCATATGGCATTCGATTTTCAACTGACATTGATTCCATCCCTTTTGAACTTGACTAGCTATAACAAACACCATTTGAAAGGTACATTTCAGCAATGTCATTTGAAGAGCAACAAAAAGCGGTCGTTTTAAGAGCTGAATGAAATATTCCAACGCTTTTGAGGTGTCAGCAACAAGAGGAAAATTTGCATGGTTTTTTGCCAGCAACGATGGCCTCACTAAGCTTCAACGAAAAACGTGTTGTGCACTCAGGTACGAGAAGAAACTTTGAATATCAAGACTAGTTGCTTACTGCACTTGTGGGTCAAAAGCTTTTCTCTTGTAAAAATATTCACACAAAATATCTCCGAGGTACATTTCAACTTCAGTTTTATGGACAATGATTAAGTAACTCAAATGACATTACTAAGCTTACATGTAAGACAAGTAAAATAGTTGGCAGTATAGCTGCCCTAACCCTGTAAGTTGTTGGTCAACAGCCTCTTTTCTTTCCTTGTGTAGCAATACCGATTCATAATGAAGATTTTCACAGATATTCCATGCAAGAGGTGAGATAAAAACAGGAAACTGTTTACTAACAACTATACAAATTAGATAATGAATCAGGCGGTAAATTTGGCATTACTGAAGGCTCCCTCAGTTTTTGTGTGATATCAAATACCATTATTTGTCAATGAGTACAAAAGTAAAATAAATGTTTTTCTGCACATTTTAGTTTCTTCCTTGTTTTGTTTTTGTTAAGGAATGCAGTAAAACTGCTACTGCTTTAGATTATTGTTTACGCTAATCTGACATCTCTAATATTTTCTCGCATTATATATGTCACTTAAGAATAATTACATACTGTGCATTTTTATCCTATATCCATTAACTTTATCTTTACTGAGTACCCAACGTTGATTGTAGGTGAGTGAAGAAATCAAATTTAATAAGCATTTTTGTGTTGAATTCCACTTGATAATTGCGTTCGACGTTAGGAGAACGCTTCGTAATCTTTGGGGATCCTGTGGTCGATGGGATACCTGTGCATGCCAGGCGTCAAGATTCGAGATTTTTGGTTACTTGGACGGGCGATGTTCAAAATCTGCGCCATTTTGAATAATTATTAAGCGCGCGCACGAATTTTAAGCCCAATAGCCGGCCAAAGAAATTGCGGGCTCACCTGGTGGACATGCGCACCCTCGTGCGATTGCACACGCAACTATACCTCATGCGAGTGCAAGCTGCTCGTGCGTCCGTGTCGCCTCCGTGGATATCTTTGGATTATTCGGTAAGTTCATTTATTTTTCTCAAACTTCATGCGATGTTTCTTAAAAAGTTCATCGCTTCAACTTGTCAAAGCCTTACCAGGAAACTTTTTAGTACTCCAAGAGCATGTAGAAAGCCCGATGTCGGCGTTGTCCGAACTACAACAAACCGAAGACCTTCGCTGCTCTCCTGCTTTGAATTGATGTCCTCGAATTTGCCGAACAACAAAGCAAATCAACCGATAACTCTGACACAAAGTTGTCTCAAAGCAAATCTACCAAGCCATTGTGCTTTGACCCATAGCGGTCACAAATACAAACCAAACAAACCGAAGTCATTGTACTCGGTGGCCATTGCGCCTAAATGACCCGTTGTGGTCACAAAGCAAATAAACCGAGTCATTCTGCTCGATGGCCATTGCGCCAAATGAAAAGTGACAAAAGTCAAATGGTTACCGGGCTGATAAGTGGTGATTGTAGTTCACAAGATCATGATAAGGCTTTGACAAGTTATTCTTCTGAGAAAATTGAAAATCATAGTGTAACTATTTCTGAAAATGTTGAAGTTCGTAAGAAAAGAGTGAATTGTCAGAGGAAAAGGGACAGGGAACCATCTCGCGTTCCTGTTAAAATAATTCTAAAGGCACTAAGTAATACGAAGTCTAGGAATAGAATCAAGTCTTTTGTAAGACAACATCTTCCAGACAGTTCTTTTATCACTAATTTATGTAGAAATTACAACACCTGGAAATTCTGGTATACCAATGATCATTATTATAGTAAATTTGTTTTTTACATGAACATACAGAAAAGAAAAATTTACAACAACAGATAACTATTCTACATGTAACTGTAGACAAACACATATCCGTGTGGCAGATTTAATGAATTCTGGTGGAAAAAGCTTTCCTCAAACTCATAATGATAATTCAAAATTAAATGGAGGTATGTCTCCTGAGAATGCTGTTAGTCATGATTTACCATGGGATTGTTTAACTGAAAGGCTTCGTCTCATAGGACTTATACCACATGATGTAGGTGGATTTGGGGATTGTTTCTTTAAATCAGTTTCGCACCAACTGTATAGGACTGCTGACTTGCATCTTGAAATTCGTATGGCTGGAATTGGCCATTTACAGAGTTACCCAGAATTGTATATTGAAAGCATTTCTAATGATCACTGGAATAACTATATTCAACAAATGTCAAAACAAGGCACATGGTGTGATAACATCATAATGCAAGCTGTGGCCAATGCATACAACTGTGTCATTCATATCACACAGTCTAATATAAATTCACCTGAAAGTACAATCTTAACTCCTGTTGCTGATCAGGATGGACGAAACACAATATTTATTGGATATATTAACGAGTTGCATTATGTTTCAACATTGACTGACAAAAACAGTAGATATAAAAACAAACTCACATGCATAAAGAGAAAATTATCAGAAACCAATGAAAACAGACATGGTAGACTTCTTAAGCACAGAAATTACATGAAAAGAGTCAAATATACAGAAACAGCTAATGAAAGGGCAAGCAGACTTGAAGATAAGAGAGGCACTTATAGAAAAACAATGTCTGAAGAAACTGCTGAAAAGCGAAAAGAGAGACTTAAAAATAAGAGAGACACTTATAGAAAAAGAGTGTCTGAAGAAACTGTTGAAAAGCAAAAAGAGAGACTAAAAAGTTACAAAGACTCTTATAGAAAAAGAACGTCTGAAGAAACTGTTGAAAAGCGAAAAGAGAGAGGTGCAAATAGGAGAGCCAGTTATAAAAGGTCTCAAACAATTTCTGCAGGACAAAAAGAGAGCTCTGCTGGTCCAGTTCACGAACAAAAACATGCACAAAATAACATGAACGATTTTCATAAGTCCAATCAGTATTCAGTTTGCCAATGCACTGTCTGTTTTGAAGCATGGCCATTGAAATCCAGTCCAAGGAAGGTTGATCACTACCAGTGTCAGAGGTGCATACGAGATAAACAACAACCAAAAAAGTTTTCTAAGGAAAATGACATGGTGCCATCATTAGTACCTTTACAACTGCAGGGGTTAACCCAAGTAGAAGAAATGCTTATTGCACGTGCACTTCCTGTTATGCGAGTTTACATAAAACCTGGTGGACAAAGGGGCTATTCAGGCCACTGTATCAATTTGCCTCAGGATATAGCTGAACTAGCACATTCTCTGCCTAGATACCCAAAAGATCTATCTGTTATTGTTGTTAAGATGAAAGGTAAAGAGAACAGTTTTAAAGATGTGACAGTGCGAAGGCAAAATGTAGCTGATGCACTACAATGGCTTGTTAATAATAACTCACACTACAAGGACATAACCATCAATCAAAATTCTCTAAATTCTTTACCAGAACATGGTGTTCCACATGGTCTTCTCTCGGTTGAAACAGAGAATATAGATTTGAATGCCACATGTGAACCTGACTTAGGTCCTCAAAATGAAGATGACATTGTTTATAATGAGGGTACTGAAATGAGTAGTTTTCTGCCTATTCCAGAGTGTCAGCAGCAAGAAATAGAAGCTGTGCGCCAACAATTGTCTAATGATTCTAATCACTTGCCCTGGCCAACAGTTGGCAGTGAACCATTAAACGAGTATGTAACTCCCTTTTTAGCAACAATGGCTTTCCCAACATTATTTCCAGATGGTAAGGGTGATCCTACTAACCCATCATTACGCCGAGATATACCACTTGGAGAAAGAGTAAAGCACCTTTTAAAGTTTGGAGAAAACAAGAATGACAAATGGGTATATCGCTTTGCTACTCACCCCAGATTTGGTTACTGGGCATTGAATATGATACAAAGAAAACGTATTCTGCAACAGACAGGCATGTTCCTAAAACAAAACCCAGGAGAAGCTCATTTGACTGCTGAAGAGCTGCGGCAAATGGCAACTAGCAATAACACAAGTATGTGCTATTAATTCTATTGTCCGTAATTGCAACAACAATAGCAACCCTACAAAATTGATAAAAAAAGTGATAATGAAGTCACTTGGCCAACGTGACTTCTCTGCACAAGAGACTATGCATCATCTCATGTCACTGAAACTTGTCAGCTCATCATTTAATGTGGTACCTATTAGTCTAAATGGTTCACGTAGAATCAAAACTATAACAAATGATGGAGATACTGTAACCAATGACTCATTGCTTGATACTTACGCTAAAAGGGAAAAATATATTCAAACCATCCCAGATATAATGGCTCTTAATTTCATTCATTTTGCAACAAAATACAAACTTGTCAACAACAAACTAACAGTTCAGCCTCATAACATGATTCCCAGAGTTTTTCCAGTATTTTCTTCCAATTCAAAAGGTCCAAATTTTGGACTTTATTGCAAATATCAGTTACTTAAGCACAAACCTTGGCATACTACACAAGACAATGCCTGGGATTGTCAGGAAGGCACTGATGAAATATACATCACAAAATGGAAGGAATTTCTACAAACACCATATGCTGAAGAGCATGTTCCTGACTGGTATGAAAAACTACAAAGTGTACAGAATAACACAGAAGAGGAACCAAATATAGAGCACTCTTCAGAAGAGCTTCCACAGCGTGAAGAGTGGATGGATTTAGCAGATCTCATACCTGGGTATTTTGTTAACCAAGATAATATAACACAACAAACCTCTCAGCCTGATTATGACTCTAGTGATATAGCTAAGAAAGCAAGTTCGGATGACATGTCAGGTTTACAACCGACCATTTTCCTTGCAAAAGGTGCACATGTAATGCTTACCATGAACCTATGGATAGATGTTGGACTTTGTAACGGTGCAACTGGAACGGTTGAAGATTTCATTTATGCAAACAACCAGCAACCACCAGACTTGCCTGTCGCTGTCATAGTAAAATTTAATGAGTATAGAGGTCCATCTATCAGTGATAGCATTCCACGATGTGTGCCTATATGCCCAATAACAATAACCTCACAGACACTAGATGGTTTACATGAGAGACAACAGTTGCCTCTCAAACTTGCTTGGGCAATCACAATACACAAGAGCCAAGGGTTAACACTGCCAAAAGCATGGATTGACATTGGTCAGACTGAAATTACTGCAGGCATTTCATATGTAGCTATAAGCAGAGTGAAAACACTTTCATCTTGTATTATTGAACCAATGACTTTTGAAAGACTTAAGAGTCTTAAGAAATCCACTAATTTAAAATATAGACTTGAAGAAGAAAGCAGGCTATATAATCTAGCAAATATAAATTGATCCCAAGTTGAGTGATGCGAACAAAGTCACTCACAACAGTACAGCACCCAAAATTGATTAATTAGAATAAATTGATTATACGGCCTTCAACACATGCATACATAAATGATTTTTTTTATGGTTATAAATAGTTCACTTTCCAACTACATTTAAAGCAAAGTTCCATGTAATGTTTCAGAGTGTTGTATTAACTAGGGTTTAAAGGTATTTTAAACACCCTCCTAAAACATCTGTATACATCCTTATTTTTTTTTTTTTTCAACAGACAAGACAGAGATCTAATATGGCTTCAGGTATGTATCTCCCGGTCATACTTAAATATTATGGTTATACGTTCCTTTCTTCTATTAAACTAATGCTTCTTGTTTTAAAATCATTTTATAACCTTACCTGCTCTATATGCTCTCATTAATAAAACATATTATTTTGAACATCTAGGTATTAGATGTACACTGTTTCCTATCACTTTTGTCACCCTTTAATGTTCTCATGTAGTTATATGATACAATTTATTTTTCCCACACCTCTTGCATGTTGGTGGCGAACTTTGGCCAAAATATCACTGTTATTTGTACTAAAAATAATCTTAATTACAGTAATTAATGAGTGGTGAACTGCTCCTGTTTTGCTAAATTTTAACACTTCCCCTTCTATTAAGCCCTTCCTTTCTATTTAGCCCCCCCCAATGCGCCTTAAAACAATAAGCCCCCTGGGGGCTTAATAGAGGATTTACAGTACATGAAACAAGGAGACTAATATTTACACATATGTTTTTTCAAATAACACAAGCTACCTTATGCAGTAATCCCATCCATGCCAAATTTATTACATTAATCTAAATATCTTTTACCTCCTCCTACAGAAAAACAAGACATAACTTGCTTTGTGCATAATGTCTCACCAGTAAAAAACTCTGGACCAACAAGCTACTTTAACTGCCACCTTCAGACAGAGAAAGATCTCATTGGCAGTGTATGCTTTGCAACTGAAAAGAAGGAAACTCTTGATGCAATGGCCGCACAAAGATCACCGGTTAAAATTTCAAATTTTAACATCAGCAATAAGTATGGACGAAGTGATGTAGTAATAAACAGGAACACAACCATCACTTCAACAACAGCTGATTTTCCATACAAAGCACAAGATGATGTCACATCAATTGCATCCTTGTCAAAAGTAGCACCACAACAGCTAGTGTCAATAAAAGGAAAGATATCACATCTAAGTGCGACCAAAACTATAGTCATCCAAGATTCTCCTGTCAAAAAACAGGAAGGCTATATAGTTGATCCATCTGGTTACATAAAAGTTATTTTCTGGGGTGAGCATGTTGACAGCGTCACACCACAGTCCACCTATTTCTTCAACAACTTGAGAATGAAAGTATCTCAGAATCAAAGATACTTGAACACACCAAAACAAGATAATTTATACACCATCAAGGACGCTGAACCCTTCAAACAAACATTACCTGAAGTCAGTGACATCTCAACAACAACAGAAACCATTGGAGAAATACTAGGAATAAGCAGTGTCACCAAATACAACTGTTGTTGTTCATGTTCAAAAAAAGTTACAATCAAGGGAAAAATTGCAGTCTGCGATAACTGCAAAGTAACACAAAAGGCAACCAGCTGCAGTGTAAAGTGGACACTCAAGATCCATATCCAAAACTCCAAACAACCACTGCAGAAGCTTCAGCTACAGGTTTATCAAGAAGCAGTGCCAAAGTTGTTTTCAATTTGTCACTTAATTGCAAATGAAACAACAGAGGAGGAAATCACAGAGGCTGTCTTAAACCTAGACACAGTTAAAGTATGCTTTGACACGCAAATGCGAAAACTTGTGGACATTGAAAAAATTGCCATTTAACATGTTTTGTTGCATTTTCCCTTGTAACAAACCAATCTCTAGTAACTATTTAAGTTACTAATAATTCATGCTATGAGATACAAACACTAAAACTTTTAGATATCGCATAAAAACTTTTTATAGCACTTAATTTTTGAATTTCGTATTAAACTTTCTTGAAACTATTCCATTTACTATTATTCATGTTACTGTTAGAAAAATTAGTCTCGCTCATTTAGTATCTGAACTACATTGTAAATGAGTAGATTCTCATGTTTTAATTATTGCATTTTACCTTGTGACTAATCGAGTTAGTATCATCCAGGGCCCAGTTGTTCAAAAGACGATTACTGCTAACCCACGATTAAAGCTTAATCAAAGATTTAATCTCTTTTGTTTAAAAAGATTTCAAAAGCTAATTATAAGCTGCACATGAAGTCAAATCGAAAAATAAAACTAAAGAGCAAGAATCCTTAAGAAAATCTCTTTTGGTTATTAATTTAACTGAAATAAAAATTGACGCTAACCCTGGGTTTGCTTAATCGCGCTTTGAACAACCCGGCCCTGGTTACTGTTAAGATAAGAAAAATAGTTAAACAATGCTATGACACACAAACACGAAATATTTAGACATGGAAAAAAATCTAAGTTTCATAGCATTTTGAACTTCATCACAGCTTCATGTTCCAGTTGTTGTTATAAAATTTAGTCTATCTCTTTCAGTTTTTCAAGATACTGAGTAGATTGACATGTTTTTTTACATTTTCTCTTGCAACTAACCAATCCAATGCAACTATTCAAGTTACTATTCATGTTACTATTAAAATTTTTTTGTTAAACTATGGTATGACATGCAAACACCAGAACTTTTAAACATTGCAAAAAGTTTCATAGCATTACCAACTTCATAACTTTCTTGAAACTATTCAATTTACTATTATTCATGTTACCGTTACAAAAATTAGTCTCACTCATTTAGTATCTGAACTACATTGTAAATGAGTAGATTGACATGTTTTAATTATTGCATTTTACCTTGTGACTAATCGAGTTAGTATCATCCAGGTTACTGTTAAGTTAAGAAAAATTGTTAAACAATGCTATGACACACAGACACGAAACGTTTAGACATGGAAAAAATCTAATTTTCATAGCATTTTGAACTTCATCATAGCCTCATGTTGTTGTTATAAAATCTACTCTGTCATTTTCAGTTTTTCAAGATACTGAGTAGACTAACATGTTTTGTTACATTTTCCCTTGCAACTAACCAATCCCTTGTAACTATTCAAGTTACTATCATTCATGTTACTGTTACAAAAGTTAGTCTCCCACAATCAGTATCTAAACTACATTGTAACTAAGTAAATAAACATCTTTGGTTACATATTTGGGTTTCACTATTAAAGTTGCTATTGTTCATGTTGCTCTTTAAATACTTCGTCTTTCTCATTTAATCTCTCAACTAATTTCCTCCTCTGTTTTTGTATGATTTTAGCTAAATTCATTGAACTTCGAACGCACTTATTAATCTTTGATTACTACTAGTACATACATGTATTTGTGCATGCATAGCTCGGATAGCTAGGCCTTGGTGTACTGTGATAGAAAATTAGCTCACAATTCAGTATATTTTGCCGTGAAAGAAATAGGTGATGCTTAACTTTAGTATTTTGTGAGTAAATATTTAGTTAGAAATTGACATTTGTAGCGCAAAGAAGTTATATTTCATGACATTAGATTTCCCAATAACGTAGACAAAGTCCGAGTATATTTACGATATAAAATGATGTAACTGCATGCATTTTCTTAGGCTAAATAAGGTGAAAGAATGTGCGATTTTGTAGACACTTAATTTAGATACAATACAAAGGGAACTTTTACTGTACATGTGATTAATGTAAAAATACTACCTCACGCAAGGATAGTAGAAAACCCACTGTATACTTAGAATGTTTTAGTTGATCGTTGATCATTTAGTTACCTTGATCGTTGTGTTACGACCATTGAATATGTGAAAATTCTACATTGCAGTAGATTGTTGGATTGGATCAAATCGTGTTGTTACATCGAAAGATACAGTCCTCTTGATTTGTTTGAACCAGCAGAGCAGGGTTAAAAGAATTCTGCAACAGCTGGTCCATCGATAGCCAGATTCAAGTAAAGAATGTCCAAGAAGAAAGTTAGAGGGGGTCGTCGACGATTTCTAACAAGAGTCCGTCCTGATGTTGATGAGTGCCTAAACAACTATGAAGCTGAGAAGGAAGTTGAACTTGCTAAGTGGCATACAGTCCTAAAAGAACAGCTTGACAAGATCTTACCTCTTGACGAGGAAATTTATGCCAAACTCATAGCCGATGAAAAATCCACCGAGGAAGACATCATGGCCGAGATAGAGCTGCAAGATTGAAGGCTGACGTACTTCAGAGACTTGCAGCTATCAACAAAAAACTAACTGTGCTGCGGCCTGGATTGAGCGAGAGTCAAAACATGAGTGGGTCTCCTCCTAGTCCTTTAAACCAGAACATTGTCGAGAATGGAGCGACCTCGAGCTCGGTGACCCCTATCAGGGTGAAACTTCCAAGACTGGAAGTAGGAAAGTTTAGCGGCAAGCTGGAAGAGTGGCAGGAGTTCTGGGATTCCTTTGAAAGTGCAATACATTCAAACGACAGCCTTTCAAAGGTGGATAAATTCTCATATCTAAGAGGCTTACTGCTAGAACCAGCGAGGTCAGCGATTGCAGGATTTGCCTTAATGTCCGTGAATTATGAGGCAGCGGTTGAACTGTTGAAAAAACGTTTGGGAAAAAAGACCGCAATCCAAAGATCTTTGGTGAATGAACTGTTGAACACAAGACCTGTGTCAATGAAAGCAACACGGCGAGATTGTGCGGCCTCTATGATTTCATGGAGACAAAATACAGAGCCCTTCAAGTGTTGAACGGCGACGAGCATACTTATTCCGAGATAGTCGTCTCCATGCTGCTGGAAAGGATTCCGGATTCAATACGCTTAACAATCACTCAAGGAAAGCAGTACCTGGAGTGGACCCTCCAACACTTTCTGGATTCTCTGTTGACGGAGGTTGAATTGCGGGCAGATAATAATTTAACTGCCCAATGAGCTGGATCGAATGACCACAGAAAGGGACCCCATAAAGCGAGTGCGTTATTCGCTACCAAAGGAGGGGACAGGAGATGTGCATTTTGCCTTGGAGGCCACCCCCCAGAAGATTGCAAAACGGTGCAAGACGTAAAGGAACGTAAGAAACTTTTACTTTTACTTAAAAAAAAAAGAAACTTTTACTTAAATTCGGTAGATGTTTTAATTGCATTGAAAAGGGCAATTGTAACCAAGACTGTAGCGTAATAACAGAATGTAAATTATGTAAGGGACAACATAGTTCTTGTTTGTGCATGGCCAAACCGCAACAGGCCTCAGGGGGAATCAAGATCGGCCCGGACGAGGAAATTTATGCCGAACTCATAGGCGATGAAAAATCCACCGAGGAAGACATCATGGCCGAGATAGAGCTGCAAGATTGAAGGCTGACGTACTTCAAAGACTTGCAGCTATCAACAAAAAACTAACTGTGCTGCAGCCTGGACTGAGCGAGAGTCAAAACATGAGTGGGTCTCCTCCTAGTCCTTTAAACCAGAACATTGTCGAGAATGGAGCGACCTCGAGCTCGGTGACCCCTATCAGGGTGAAACTTCCAAGACTGGAAGTACGAAAGTTTAGTGGCAAGCTGGAAGAGTGGCAGGAGTTCTGGGATTCCTTTGAAAGTCCAATACATTCAAACAACAGCCTTTCAAAGGTGGATAAATTCTCATATCTCAGAGGCTTACTGCTAGAACCAGCGAGGTCAGCGATTGCAGGATTTGCCTTAACGTCCGCGAATTATGAGGCAGCCGTTGAACTGTTGAAAAAACGTTTCGGAAAAAAGACTGCAATCCAAAGATCTTTGGTGAATGAACTGTTGAACACAAGACCTGTGTTCACTCTTCACATGGTTTTCACACACACATACCCTTGGTCAGGCAGTTACATCTGACAATGCTTGTGTTGTTAATGAAAAGAAAATGGCTTTACAACAAATGATTGACAGGAAAAGCAGCTTTTTCACCAGTGGGGAGGTCAACCCATGCAAAGCAAGTGTGATATATCACTCCATTGGCTATCTCTAGCTTCGTTCAAACGCTCACAACCACCCAGCAGCAGTTGGAGTAGCATTAGCCACCAGCATAGCCACCAAAGTCGAGGCCAACGCAGCTGTTGATATCTTTAAACCAACATCCACCATAATACGAGAGGTGCTTTTTGAAAACCTGAAAGACATCCCCTGTCCATGTTTGCTGAAGCCCAGGTACATAGCGAGTAGCCAACCGACACCACTAGCAACTAAAGCCAAAAGACCCAGCAGACCTCCCAGACAGATCCCTGTCCAGAGACGTGCTGGAACAAAACCATAGGCATCTGATGTTCGTCACCGATTAGCAGCTGGAGCACCTTGCCCAAGCCAAATTGAGGAATATCGACGAAACTTTCAAGCTCTGCTGACACACATTTAACCTCTTTGTACTGAGTTGAGGACAAAAAAAGAATGACCACCAAAAAGTGTTGAAACAGCTACTCAAGATCCTTCCGTCAGCACCGACCTTTCAACAGATTACATTAGACTTTAAAGTAGAGCAGCCTGGGGTCGTGATCCCAAGGCTGCACTCGTGTGTGTTCCATTGGACCCAAGCCCTGTGGAAAAAGGTGAGTGAACAAGTAATAATACTGGAGAATGGCAGAGAGAAATATGTCAACTTTTACGTTAAAGCAGACATTGATGGAAGAGTACTAAGGTATTCATTCTCTGTGCTTGTAGAAAACATCTAATGAACCTATGGTGAGCTTGCAACATCACACATCCAGCACTTTTGCACATACGATACAAGTACGAAGATGGAGATTTTGTTAACCTTAACAAGGACGATAGATAATTTTCAAGTGATGTTTGCTGGTGCCAGTTCAGTAGATGAATATTGGAAAGTACTTTCGAGTATCAGTGAGCTACATTTACCTGTCGTTCAATGGATGGGACCAGGCAAAAGACGAAAGTTTCAAGAAATTTCTACTCCTGCGAGGGAAACTTTACAAAAGCTAGATCCTCGGTCATAAGGGAAAAGGTTTGTGAATGCTGCATCATTTACTAAAAAAGCCGGGTGATCACCATTAGACTACATAAGAGCTGAATTAGCCAAAACCATTCAGTGAAAGAAAGTATTGTTATAGAGCGCGGAAGGGGAATTGGTCAGGGCGACCTTCGAAAATGATGCGCTCACTCCTATCTTCACTTTCTAATCAACGATCTGTGGAAACCGTCGCAAATCATGCATGACCAAACGTGTTTCACCTTCCTGCCCTCCTCATGACGCTCGTAATTTAAGGGACAAGCACCCTGAGCTGAAACAAAAGATATCAGAGCTGCAAAATGAAATCAATCAATTACAGCAAGGACACAGCAATGCAGAATCAAACCTGAAGGCATTAACTGTTCTTTTTGCGGTCAAAATGCGTGCCAGACTCAAAGTGCATAGTTTTATCAAGTACAGTGACCTGAGATCTTCTAATTCTTGAAGAAGCATTGAATGGAAAGATTCCTAAATTTGACAAGAGTGAGGATTGGCAGTTACCAATTGATAGAAGAGAATCAAAATTGAAAAGTTGATATTTATTTTAACAGCATCGTAGTTTGGAGATCTTCATCTATGACTATTTATGGACTGAACCTTCTGAACTGTACGATGTCACCGTGTCAACTGCTGTTTTCATGTTTTGTTTCAAATTTTGTCCTTTATGCATTATAAAATTAAATGCCATGTTGTGTTGAAGTGTTCGTCTTTAATTCTGTTATGGAGTGTTTACAGTTCAAGTACTGTTCACATACGTTGACGCCCATGTGTGATACAATGACAAAAAAACATTTTAAAAAGTCTCCTAGCCTGTGAACAGCTGCGACTCAGCAACAGAAATTTCATACTGATGACGTAAAATCTGTCCGGAATCCAGCCATAAGCGTTGATTGGACGTCGTTGATCTAGCCATTCTTTACGAATGACAGACAAAAGACAAAATAAATGCAATGAATCTAGTGTTCCGTAGTCGGGCAGCCTGGTATTACCATGACTTGATCACATACTTTGTAGAATTTCCTTTAGGTGATTTTACAGCCAAATTCGTTGTATCTCGCGCCGTGCGTTAGCAAACTTTGAATAGGTTTTTCTGTTACGTCAATTATTTGAGTCGGGGGCAGTATTAATCACAATGCAAAACACTCACCCAGCTTGGCCTGTAAAAACAAAACTGAGAATGACTCTAGACTGGTCAGGAATAGCAAAGGAAACCGCGATGATGGGTGGGGTGGAATTTTTGTCGAGAGCAGGAGGCAGACATTGCTTTATCCTTGCAAGAAACAAGAATAAGATCAGAAAAATCTTCAAAGAAAACTGGTCAATTATTTCTCAAAACAGGGCGATTACAAGCACGAATCACACGAACCTTGAAAGACAGGAACAAACACAGTGGATTGAAATGCACCAATCACAAGTAAACATGTGCTTCCTAAGAGGCCCGATAGGATGACTGACGGAGCCAGGAGCTGATTACTTGGAGCCACCATATGTGCTGTACCCTTCAGTCAACCCTTTCCGATAAAGAATTATTTTAAGAACAGGCTTTCCAGCGAAAATACAGTGTTTCCAAGAACGTCCGCATATTGCCGTAGTGAGAAAAAAAATGGCGTCGGAAGAGCGAAATTGGCCAGCAAGTTTTTTATGGGGAATATTAAGGGCCCCAGGACACCTGGTGGATAAATACTTGGCTTGTACCAGTACAGGTTTGTCTGTATTAATATTGGACTGTTCTTGGTTGCTGTTGCACATCCCTTAAATGGTTTCAGGAGGGGCAAATTACAAATTAATATTTGTGGGTTCTCATTAATCCAATGAGTTCAAAACATTTCAATATATTATTATTATTATTATTATTATTATTATTATTATTATTATTATTAGTGTCGGTGGTGATACAGAGAGTGTTGATTCATCAGAACTGGAAGAAACAGGGCAAGAACAAGTGGAACATGACATTGATAAAATGTCTAATGCTCGTTTGCAACAGCTTACACAAACGGCCAACACGTCTTCGTATTCAAAGCAAAAATCCTCTTTGCGCGTGGAGTTTGAAACCTTTTTAGCCTCTTTGCCTAATACAAAGTCTATCTATTCCGCCACCCCCGAAGATGTTTCGCGTTTTCTGATTTGGAAAGATCGTCACGGGAAAAGGGTTGTCCATGTAGCTGAATGTGTAAATGCCCCGAGCATTTCCCAAGGTGGGGAAATTGTGCAAATATACCAAGATTGGTAAAACAAAATAAAACCTCCAATGATATTCCAATCAATATTATTATCTCCCAATGTTGGGAAACTATTTTAACATGCCAGCATTGGTATATATATCATTTCTCCAATGTTGGTATTCTAGTAAACATACCAATGATACCCCAGTATAAAACGTGCACTATCAATTATTTTGCCAGGCTTTTCTTACGATGACAGCCTGTCAATGTTCAACATGGCATCTTTAGAGGACAGACGCATAGATCACTGTGAAAAACTGTTTGATTCTATTGTATCTAATCCAGATCATAAGTTGCATCATTTTCTCTCTCCCAAGAACTATTGTCACTATAACCTCAGGAGGCAAAGCCACTTTGCAAATCCAGTCATGCGTACCAAGCGTTTTTCTAGCACATTTCTGCCATCTATGTGCAGGCGTAAGCAGTTTTTGTATAAAGTTTAAGTCATCTAAAGTCCCCGAAGTCATGGAAAGCGAGAAGTAAGACTTGTCACCTTTAAAACCGTATTTTATCAATTTGTTTTTGACATTGGGCAAAAAAAGACATGACATACTTGTGAGAGCCAAACTATTACAAGGCTATTTTAAACACGCACTGAGGAGTCGTGTACGCCTGTCAACCCCATTTTACACTGATTGTTATTACTAGACAGGCCCCGTCGAGGATGATCTACTCAGCAAATCCGATGACAATGAACAAATCCCTCCGTATCAAGTGCCTAGAAAACCTAAACAGCCTAAACAGCAACGCCAAAGCCGCGACAGGCGCCCTCAAAGGGGTACTCGTGAACCAAGGACAGAACAGTACCAAAAACGTCGCCACCACAGCCCATCCACACAGAACCAAAAACGAAGCCATGGCCTATCCGCGGAGGACAAAATTAGCCAAGCCAAAGGTGCAATCAAATCTTTAAAAAGGTACACAGACAAGGGAACTTGCCCAGATACCCTACAATATAGGGCGAGGATTTTAAGAGAGAGATAAAACAAATCCGTAAGAACGCGGAGCAAGAAACACTCAACGCGATTATACGCTTCCATCAATGTGACATCGGCTGTTTTAAGGCCGAAATCAAGAAAGGAAAGAGAGCCGCACCGACTACAGCACTGAACACCAAGAACTGTAGTACGATCAAACCAGCGTACGCGGCACAAGCTGAATGCAATGATGTAACGATCGGGGCAGTAAAACAAATTGCTGTTAACCTCCAGGCACAAATCGCCCAGTTCGGCAGTATGATGGAAAAATTAGGAGCCATTGAGAATAAAGAAGTTCAAAAGTACACGTGTATTCTCTGACTCCCACCACAAACATGGGGCCAAAAAACAAATTTTAAAAGCCAAATGGCTAGCAACTAATAAGCGCAAAGACGGCAGAAAGGTCAGACGCCAGAAACGTGTAACTATCATTCCGAGCTGTATTGCGAAGTTGGTTACTTCAACCGTCCTAAAGTTTTGTAAATCTCGTGCTTGTCAATGGCTCGTCCGCGTAAGCACGTTTCCAATGGCCGCCCTCGAAAGCAAGACGATTTGGCTTCGCTTTCGACCGAAGTTCTTTGCCTTCGACTTCAAGCACTCCACCTTCCGATCATGGGAGACAAAGCAACCCTCATCTCCTGTCTTAACTTGGCGACTGGGACAAAACAGCCCCGCTCGACCTCCAATTCGCAAGCCGGACGCGCCCGGACGAAACGTTTGGCACCAAAAAGTCAGCCGGTTAGGGTTACCTTAACCGCCGCTCCCACAGAATCCTCAACCGAACAAGTAAATTTGGAGAACCCTGGTGATGACTTCAAGCGTTGCGTCTGGTGGCGACCTCGACGAAATCATGGAGGAATTTTCCTTGGACGACTCCCCGATCCTGTCCAAGCCGGACCTTTCACCGCCGCTCAACTGGCCACCATACAGGATACCGTCAGGTCCTCACTCGATCAAGCGTTTCATTCCCCTGGTCTTTAGGGCATGACCAACAGCCTGGCAATTTCAACACTCTACATCGCAGGCCAGGATCAGCTTCTCCTGTGAGTCTCAATCGTCCGCTGGAGCAGAATTTACAAGATAAAATTATCCGGGGTGAGTACATAGATATTTCTTTGTTGCTCCCCAACTCGCTAGCTCGGCCCCAGGTCCCCGATATCCAACTTCGGGTAGATGATTAAATCCCAGGCTCCTCCCCAGTAACCAAGGTCCGCAAACGGAAACCTGTTATTGACAGTTTTCATAAGTGGTTAGACACCTTCACCGCATATGCGTTGGTCATTGTCGGCTCTCATCCACGGCGATCCCTTGAACTGTTCAAATACCAGCAAATCATTAGTAGGGTGGCCTCCAAATTCCAGGGTACCGCTTTTCTGGCCTACGACGAACATTTTTGCTGCCAAGCTGCACATGACTTACGCATTACCTGGGACATAGAACTTTGGACTGTAACCTTCTCTGACCTGGCTAAGCCTCACTGCCTTGTGTGTGCTAGCCCCCAACACAGCCGAACTTCCTGCCCCAACACCGATCCTTTATGCCAGTCGTCCAAGAACGGCCCTGTCTGCTTCCGTTTCAACAAATCATCCGGATGCAACTTGCGTCCCTGCCCTTTCCCCCATGTCTGCCGCCGTTGCTGATCCGCAGACCATTCCATTGTCGCCTGTCCTAGCAGTTTCTCCAAGGCTAACCGCCGCTCAAACGGATCCAGTAACATGAATGATTGCAGCAAGCGATAAAGTCCAGCTCCAAGCGAGGAACATTGCACCACCGGTTTCTACCCCCATTAACATTGACGTTTTATCAAAGGAACTTTCTGGTCACCCGGATAGTCATTTTGTAGCTAACTTAATTAATTCCCTCCGTTATGGCACACCCGTTGGTTATATAGTTTCCCGTCAGCCCTGGGTATCCCGTAATTTACAATCGGCTGCACCCAGACGTAGTTTCATCCTATCTGACCAAGGAGATCGCACTGGGTCGCATAGCAGGCCCCTTTCAGTCTCCCCCACTTCCTAATCTCCAATGTCACCCGATGGGGGTAATACCTAAGAAACACCCTAACGAGTGGCAAACTATTTACCACTTTTCCTATCCTGAGGGCAATAGGGTCAAGTCTATGATGTCACCCATCGTTATAACCTAGGGAAAAAGTGCATTCCTCCATATTCATTCGTACATCTGCAAATGCAAAACAAGTAAGATCATCAAGTTGTGGCATGTGAATTTACATTTCGTTCTCGACCCATCGAAGCTTCCTTAATGTGAACTAGCGGCTTCTCTTGAAGAGGAATGCTCAATTCCAGAGATTAGCTTTGGCTTTGAAGGAATAAAAAAACACATACAAAGTGTGTTCAATGAGAGGAGACGTTCTCGTAAAAGAGAAAGAATTGATTATGATTTGGTAGGTAGCTACATAAAATATACCATTCTCCTGAAGGCAATTTCATGTCATACATGTTTACATGTAGTACGTATTAGAACTTTGTAAACACAGTTGTGGTGTCACAGTTACTGGTAGTACTGATTCTAAGTATTTTTTTGGACGGCGATAAAACTTTTTCCCACATGACGAGGCCTGGCTACACTCTATAATACGACAACAAAGGAGATCCTAGATAACGAATGGAAAGTCATTCTCAGAAAAAAGGGAGTAGCATTACTTTGTTTCTTTAATCTTCTTCCAATCATTGATATAAATATTCACTATTCTTAGATCAATTATTCCGACCTAGCCAGAGGGTATGGCCTTAAAGACGTAAAATTAGGTACCATGGTGGTAAGAGAGTACTTGGAGACTGAAGGCATTAATGTGCAGCGGTTCCAACAGCATCACAGAAGTGCGTCAAAAGGCGCAGGCTCAAGAAAATGCTTGGAGGGGACATATCTGTTCCTGTGCCCAGAAAAAATGAAGATATTAAAAAATCCTTAAAGATTGGCGAATTTACAAGGGAAGTTGAAGAGAAGTGCACCCCTAGGCAAATGAAAGAACTTCTCATGAAATATGAGAGAACTAAACACTTCATGATCTGGGCAGACAATTCCACAATAATGAACCATGGACACATTATCTACCTTGTCCAGTGCCTGTATGATCCAGCCTTCTTCTTCACACCTGAAGAAATGAAGGCCAGATGGCATGAAAATGTTGTTGTACCATCTATCATTGACAGACCACATCTTTATATTCTGGGCAGATGTGGCTCTAAAGAAATTGAGCAGCTAGCATATGTGGACACAAGACAAGAATACCTAGATCAACTTCCCCACCATGTAGAAACAAGCAAAGGGGAGAAAGTAAATGATGTTGTGAGATTTTTCCATGGAGATGGGCCTGAACAACAGTTTGAAAGTGGAGAACAAAGGGGAGGAAATGCTGGTTGTACTGCTTGTAGTGGAGATGTAAGAAGGTATCGTGATCTGACATACAGCTTTCGTTGTCCATTACTGTCACCAGCTGATCGTGAACGTATAGTGCTGGCAGGTCGTGCAGGAAGGTAAAAAAAAAATGGGGGAATTAAACCATTTGAAGATTTGACAGTTGTAGAACTACAGAGAGAGTGTAGAGCTCCAGGACTATCTGATGAAGGATTTAAGAAAGAGCTGCAGTCTCATTAAAAGAGCACCTTGGTGGAGTACAGAGGGTACCAGCAATGCTCCTGAATAACCAGGAAAGAAGCTTAGAGAATCTTCACTTAGGTAAATTCACAGTAAATGTGTATGCTGTTAACAGTAATAAATTAAAATACATTTCATAAATTTTAGTAATACATGTAAAAGAAAATCAAAATTATACTTCAACTTGGCGGTAAATTATTGGGCAATATTATTGTATCCACAGATAAATGAAATGATACATGCCCAGTATTAATGCATGTGTACAAATGTGTACTGTAGTTCAATTTTATATTTTATCCTTGGTTCACCATCTTCGTTTTTGTTTATAGTAATGTGCATGTACATGTTTGTAATTAATATGGTTATTAAACGCGGACCCAATGCATCTCCATTTCCAAAACTTCCTGTATATATGTTGTGATTTATTCTCTCATCCACTGAACATTAATAAAACTTTTAAATTTTATCAAACAGGAATGTATAAGGTGCTTCCTACTGAGCCACTCCATGACGTAAAAGAACACATCTCGAACATCATCACTGAGATTGTTGCTCACCTCACAAGTGAAGAAAAGAAGCTCTGCCAGGATACTCTAAGCCTTGATTCTGGAACAAGGGACCAGCTGCGTGGTTCAGATTACAGAGAAATCCTGATTGTGCTTCCAAAACAGCTTAGAGGTGAACACACAAGAACAAAGAAGCACACACAAATTGAACTGGGAATCTGCCCATGTCCCGCTCAGTGTGTGTCTGCAGTAACGTCCATGGTTATGAAACAACTAAATGTTTTTAAAGCCTACAAGTGTGAACAGACCAAAGGATTTTTCCCATACCAGTGGCTAGATTGTTTGGATAAATGAGAAGAAACATCGCTACTTCCTCACTCTGCCGGGGCTAGACAATCACGTTAACCAGACTTGAGGACCAGTTAGAGATTGTAACTGACGGAGCAGTCAAAGACCCAGGAATAGGTGCTACTGTTTGTTTCTTCAAAGCTAAGTTGCGGGGCTCCCAAGCAATGTGAGTTCCAAGCAAGGTAGACGCCCTCTCTATTGTGGCTGCTATGAAGCACTTCAGACAAAATCTTATACAGTCAACCAAGAAGGCCTACAGTACCGACAGTAAGCCTTGTGTTCAGGCGTATGAGAAGCCCTGCCAAGTGGAGTTCTCAGCCAGCCCTTATGTATCCACTTTCTCGTCTGTTGTGAGCCGCTATCAAGGTTTAGTCAGGCATGTCTGCGGCACTGCTTTCCTATGCGTCATTTCTTAAAGCCAAAACGCCTCAACCTGTGAAAACGAGACCTGTTAGGTGTGCTCCTTCATCACTACTTAATGCTATTGGTTGGTCCTTCACCACAGATGTCATAGAACATCCTACCTCATTTGCATCCAGACAAAGGCAGAGAGAAATTACTCGCATTTGGAGAGAGAAGCACTCGCCATAATCTTTGGTGTGCAGAAGTTTCATCAATACTTGTAGGGCAGACCAATTGCACTAGAAACTGACCACGAGCCCCCAGAGTCCTTTTAAGAAGACCTTATCGACATGGCTGCAGCTTGAAGCCAGTGATGGGCACTAAAATTAGCTGCATATGATTTAACCTTTAGCGCTTGCCCAGTGGCCAATGCGAGTGTCAAAACTAGTGGGCAATTGGAATGCCAATTATCTCCGCTATGAAGTGTGGGATTAGCCCTTAATCCTCTTACTTAGCAATCTCGCTCAACCTATATATATATCCTGATGTGATTGTATGATAAATCAGTTGACGTTAGGCGTTGCTCATGTAATCTTGCTGAATCATTAAATTGGATGTCCTTGAATATATAAATCACACATGGTGTCAGATGCTGGATCCTACAGGAGGAAAAAGAGGTAGCAGAAAAGAAATTTGTTTCGCCACTTTGTTTCACTCGCGCGAACGACTTCCAATGCTCAAGATCCAAAGGAAGAAGTAATCGAGGAATCAAGCATGCCAGTCATGTCACCCCCACAGCCGCAGTGGAAACAAGTTCTTCAACGGGCTCAATACAGAGAATAACCACAAAGTGGAAGCGTGAAAATGGTGGCAGCACAGTTTCATATTCCTCCTCCGGCTAAGTTTGCTCCCAAAACATATGATGGGGACCACTGGATAAAGTGCTACCAGTTATTTGAAGCAGCTACATCACAGGATGTGCTGTCCCCTAAGGTGCGTATTGACATGCTTATTTACGCAAAGGGAAAAAATGCTGTCGACGTTTACGATGCAAGTGTAAAACAAAAATTCAAGGATGATTCATTAATTCAGGTGTAATGTCATCGGTTTTTAAAACGTGGAGATATTTTCTTGGAGTATCTACAATTCCCCACAAAAAAGATGCGAGTGAAGACTGTCAAACCCCCAGAAAGGCAGATTGACCCTTTTGCGAAAGATGAAAGTCATCTTGAGAACATCGTCACAAAAGCAGTAATGCCAGGTTACATCAAGAAGGGAAGGCTAACACGAGAAGAGATCAGTCACGCGTTTTTTGACACATTTGTTCAAGAAAAAATGTTGAGGCCCCATAAAAAAGGTGCATCTCAAGTCATGGAAGTTTGCTTGGCAAACAAAGAAAAACAAAACAGCTAGCAGTGTCTAACCCTTTAAGGACGACAGCTCTATTTGCACATTTCTTGGTCGTCATTCTCTCAAGACACCAACCACTCTCCAGAACCCGTCCAGTAGACCTGTGGTCATGTTTGATGCCATTGCAGCAGTTCAGTCAATGGGAAAGCCATCACGGGTAAGAAACAGGCGTGACCTGGCAAGCCATTTCATAGAAGTTGTTGATGCTAAGTCTAATGTTGCCACCGAAGTTCATATTGTATTTGACCGCTAATATATCCTCTGCTCCAGAAAGGAATGTGCCAGAAACGTCTGGTTACATACAGAGCAGTGATATACAAGATTGCTGTCGATGCTGTTATTGGCAAGACAACTATGAAAGATCTTTTGAGCTGCAACCAGAATAAGGAAGCCAACTCATCGAGTGCTTAGTTTTGTGTCGTGACCATTTCCAGCATTTGTGGCATTAACATCATGGAAGCAAGTATAAATCTTGCATCTACATCTCATGCGGGGTTGAAGAACTCTTCTTATTCTAGTGAATTTAAACTCAAGGCTGTTCAAATTGCAGAAGACTGTAACAGTAACAGAAAAGTCGAAGCAAAGTTGGGTGTTGTTTGTTGAAGAAACTAGCAAAGGTGCCCACAGAAACTGCTTTGGAGAGAGCATTACAATCTCTACAGGAAAGTCAATACTGGAAGACCAACAGTGATCTGAGAGACTGGTTTGACAAAAAGTAGCTTTGTGAGAACAAGGTGAATGAAAGGAAGATCTATTAATTATTTCACCATTACTTATATTTTATTATGAAATTAACCACTACATAAGAAGGCTTACATTATTATTTCAATATCCTTCTCCATAAGATGCCTTCACTTATGTACTGTATTTTGTTCCTACTTATTAACCAAGAGATGAGTTTGGGCTTATCCCAAAGATCAATTTGACGAGGCAATCAATACCAGTAATGACATCGAAAGACAGACCAGGTCATCAAGTACGACTTCCTTGCTAACCAATGCGATACAAGCCTTTCAGGGATGCTCACAGTGCCGTGTAACACTACTGGACCACTGGGGAATTGAAGCAGTATAACCAACCACTTCCACAGTGGCTCCACAACCACCCACGTGCATTTGTTGACCATGTCAGAGTGCATCTGGACAGTTCTCTCAATGTACCCAAAGAAGATATTCAAGTCCTTCCAGACGAACCGCCAACATCTACAATTAAGACTGACAATCAGACAATACTGCCAGGTATACTTGCGTTCCTTCCTGCTTTGTGGGGTTTTCATTCCCAAGTATATGACCATTTTCTTACAAACGCGCATACATATGCACACAAAAAAATGTTACAAACAGTGATGTGCATATGAGGTCACAGAAAGTCATCGTATAAGAGGCACTGAATTATACCGTCAGCAAAAAACTCCTTCATGTACGATGGAACTGAAAAGTAACTTCAGTTTGAATCAAGCAAGGCCGCAATGGCTGTGTTGCTTTCGAACAAGGTTTGGTCTTATTCATTGCCCTCACAGAAGTGGTGGTTGTTGGCTCCCCGACAACGGATTTCTTGGAATCCGTGGATTTCTGTTGAGAGACTGTGTATGCTATTTCACAAATGCTGACCAAAAAGATCTGGAAAATTCAGAATCTGGTCCCGCCATGGATAAGGAATGCCTAAAGTGTGGAAAAAGGAACCACTTCATAGCGAAATGCAAATCCAAAGGAGTGAGAGAAGCTGGTTTAGATGACGGGGAATCCAATGAAATGTACCAAACAGATGTAGCAGCCGTGAACAACTGGCCACCCTGATTCACAACAATGAATCAAGGTGACCAGCTGATTCATGACAATGAATCGCAGTAGCCCTAAGGCCTAGGCTGATAGAGGCAATAGATGATCTAGCAGCACAAGGTGTCATTGCCCCAGTGACCACACCCACCAAGTGGATAAGCTCCATTGTCGCAGCCTCAAAGAAAAATGTTTTGAACCCTAAGCATCTGAGTCACACGATACAAAGAGAGAATTATCAGCTTCCGATAGTTGAAGATATTGCGACAGCCTCCATGTAGCCAAGGTCTTCACAATAATGGATGCAAAAAATGGGTTCTCACACAAAACCTCGATGAAGAGTCTTCATACCTAACGACCTTCCAAATACCGTCTGGTTGTTATTACTGGAGGCACATGCCTTTTGGCATCTCGTCAGGTGTTTCAACGGAAGATATATGAGCCCAATGAAGGCATGTTAGGTAATGAGGTAGTGGCTGACGACTTAATTGCCATTGCATACAGTGACACTTTTCAGAAAGCAACCCAGGATCATGACAAAAATCTCCTACCTTTTCTCAAAAGATGCAAATTAAATGTCCGCCTCAATCTTGAAAAGCTTATGCTGCGAGTCTCAAGTACTTTTGCAGACAAGAGTGACAGAGAACAAAACAACATTTTTTTGTTGCAAGAACAACATGAAAATTTTGTAGCAGCGGTGAGAAAATGACAAATGCTAAGGTTCACCTTTAGCACAACAGAAGCTCTAACCCTAATTTCTCTGTTTTCGCCAGGCCTCAAAAGTTTGTCACGAGGCATTTTGGAATGGCGAATTCCGTTGTTGTTTGAGTAGTTGACACTGGTGATTTTAATCAGGTTTGTTTGATCAATCCGTTGTTTTCCAAGTTTGACCATTGTATGACTACTTTAAGGATGTTTAAAATTTCTTTTCTTGTTACCTTAGTGTGACTAATGAACGTCTGGTACAGTGTATGTATCCTAAAACACGTGCCCTACACATGGTGGCAAGTCTCTTACCGCCTACTGACTGACCTCCAAGCTATTATGAAACTTTAAAGAAAGAAACTTGACTTTTCTGTTAAGATCTGCATTTTTAAAAAAGTATTTGATCAGCATGTTAATAGAGCTATACAATTTATTAAATCATTATTATTGTTATTGTAATTATATTATTATTATTATCAAAATCAAGATGTAACTGAGTGACCAATTTCAGTCTCTCACTCTTCTCTTACACAAAATCAAATGGGTAGCAAGGCTTATAGTTATTGAAGACAGGTCTCTTAATTCTAACTTTATTGAGAAAATTGAGACAATAAGGGGTATCTTAGACAATTGGTCGGCTAGAAGACTGACCCTCTTAAGTAAAATTACAATCATTAAAACTGTAGCCGTATTACACATCATCTACATATTGTCATCTCTTCCAACACCTCCTGACATACTCACGACAATCAACTCTATATTGTACGATTTCCTTCGTCGGGGGAGGGTGCGGCTACACGTAGGCTACCTTGACTAAGGTATGGGTCGCACTACCTTGTGGTAGAAATCTGTCATCGGTGGACATTACTAAGTGCGACCTGAAGTTTTCAGGTTGGAAAAAAACTTTGAAAATCAGCAAAAACATCAGAAACACCGTAGTGCTTGTGTGGGGCAGGGAGATTTTGGAAAACTCGAGCTAAACAATAAAAGGAATGACAGCAGTAACAGTCAGCACTTGTCAGTCTTGTCAGTGAAACGTGATCAATTTGAAACATCAACAATCAAAAATAAACGTGGTCAAATGTTCAGACCTTTGCGCTTTCGTGGACGGACGAGGGAACTACTATCCTTGGCCATTTTGAGGCTTTTACGCATCCGTTGCCTCCAACTGGTTTGGCTTGCATCACGCAAGACTTAAAGTTGTAGTTCTTCAACCTACAGTGGTTTCGAGATTTGGGTGCTTCGTTTTCGAGTCCTAGGTGCTTCGTTTTCGAGATTTGGGTGCTTCATGCTTTGGTCTTCGTTTTCAAGTGCTTCATTTTCGAAACTACCCTCTACAGTCTATCGTGACCCAGCTCCAAAGGATCCAGTTGATACCCTTCTGTCTCACACCAAAGTTTCCAAGAAAATCTATGAATGTATAATGAACGAAAAAGCCTCTATACCATCAAGAAGTCAGGGAAAGTGGTTGGAAGAGAGAGACATACATTGTAATGTTAGTATAATAGTAAACTGGGAAAATACGAATTGCCTATCATCTCTGTGTACAAGAGAGTCAAAGCGTAGAGCATTCCAATTTAAATTCCTTCACAGAAAAATCGCCACAGCAATAGTGCAAGACCTATTCTCATAGTTATAGGATCAGAGTGGCACAAACTAAACCAGGTTGCTAAATTTGCATGCAACAAAGCTGGACATTGGAGGGCACAGTGTCCTAATACATGACAAAGTTTCCCAACAGTCAACGACTAGCTGCCAGCCTGCCGCAAGAGCTAGGATTGGACAAGATTTTTATACGCTAAATAAAGCTCGTCACTATAGAAATGTTTAAGGTTCACAACAATATGGCACCTGAATACCTATGCCAAAAAGTTTTGAAAATGAGGTCCAACTGTGATACTAGGGGCTCCTCTTCTCCTCTTTTAATTGCCTCTTCGCAAAAACAGGTTTTGGCTATAGGGGAGCATTTAATTGGAAAATATTACGCAAGGACTGCGTAAATGCAAGTCAATGAACTTATTTAAATCTAAATTGGACTGCTTGTTTCCTAGCTTCTTTCATTCCTCACTATAATCAAGAGGAAGCCACTTGGAGTGGACGGCTTCCCTGTGCATTTTTTCAGTCCCTGCCCTCTGGAATTCCTCTCCCACAGCCCATCATAATGATGCCATACTCCATTCACCAAAACAACCCCTCTGTAGTGCCCTCCACTCCAAAATGTCAATCCAAAAAGAAGGTACCTCCAAATGGCAGGGGTGAGAATGAAATATTCGAGTTCACTGCGTGATTGCGAACTCTGGTGCAGAAAAGAACGATCCAAGTGCACCAACCTATTGTTGGGAACGGCAAAAAGTCCCACGATCGACAGTTGGACACCCTATTACCAGAACCAGAGTCCATACGGTATCCTGAAAATCGCCAGATCACGGTATCCAGACATAGCGGCCTCGGAAGAAAATGGGGTTCAACCAGGAAAAAGTCAATACGCACACCTGTGCAAGTTTTTTGAAAGATGCCAAGATGCACTGGCACTGGCAAATAAAAATGAACAAATTGTCAACAAGAAATTCAAAAGACATTAAAAGGGACAACAATTAGAGAAGGTATTTCTTCTATTTAAGCTCATAATTATTTAGTAATAATTTAATGTATGCATCAAACTATAGCTCAATCAATAGATCGTTTTCAAGTGACGTTATGGCGGCCATGTTGGTATACAAGAACAATAGATTTTCTCTCCCTTGGGAACTTATCTCCATTGTACGCAAATTCTGCACAAACATTTTGTACTGTTTTGTAAACTAACATGGCCGCCTTGTCACATAAGTGAAAACCATCTGCAAATCAAAGAATTTATTAAACTTGTCGGTGGTATCTAGCCGAGGGTAGAACCCTCTACTAATTGGGGACACGAAAACGAACAAATTACAACTAATAGAGTATATTGAAAATAATGGTATGAGACCAGACCCCTCACTGATCTCAACAATAATATAGGCCATATCCGTATCTTTTTAACCACGTTTACTGTTGCTGAGCAACAGTGCAAAAGGAAAAAGAAGAGGAATGCACAGAAGGACCTAAAAAGGAAAGCAAAAAAAAGGGCAAAGAACAAGTACATGTACCAACTTACAGTGAGAAAGAACCAAACAAGGAGGAAGAAGAGAGATCAGTCATAGATGAGTGGTCTACCGAAGAAGAAATTGAAGACTAATACAATACAATATACAGTTGCACTCATTATTTTGGCTTTGTAGTAATAATTGGGTGATAAGTAGTTATTCTGTATGATTAAATGTTTTTATGGTGTTTATTATAATGCAATATACACTGTATGTTGCAGATAGTCTGGCTGCCAATGAAACCCATACTTTGTGGTTCTTAATGTTTGTTAAAAGTACCAGTGGCAGTGTTGCTGTTCATGTTGTTGACTAGTTAATGTTGGTAACAGTTAAAGTGGGCACAAATAATTTTATAGAATATTAACAAAGCTACCAAATTCTAATATTTATTTATTACAAATTTTATTTAATTATTTTTATTATAATACAGTATACAGTGTATGTTGTAGGTACACTAGCTGCAATTTAAAACAAAAACAAGGTTCCAATTGTCTCCTTTCAATAAGAAGAAAGTGACTTTTGTTCATAAATATTTGTGCCTAATAATATTGTTGATTTCTGAAACTCAGACTTTCTGAAAAAGTCACAATTGGACCTTCCTTCTGTATCAATTTTTTTTCTTTACCTTCTTCTTTGCATTTCCCCTTGCATGAATTTTTTTTTGTTTTTTTCCTCATCACTTTTCTAATGGTCCGTTCCTAAGCATATCTGTCTGATCTCGTTAAAACGTGGCCAGCCCGGTGTGCAAAAAAGTAGAGGGCTTGACATCTTGGTCGGTACAGCTGGATAGCCCAGGGACTGCCCTAACAGTGGGTGGGTGGATCAGGCCTTGGGGTCAACCAACCCATCAGTAAGCAGCAGTGTTCAGAGGAGACTGGCTAGCGAGTACCTTCGTCTTAATTTGCCCTAGCCAGCTGAATCAGGCCTCTGTTGAGAATGATTATCATGATAATTGCAGAGCTCAGTGGGAGGTGCAGACAGTCAACCATTGTCCTGGGTGGGGAGGGTCAAAGTCTTGGTACCAAGGACACACTTAGCATAGGACCTTTAGACACTCACTGAAGCCATGTTTAAATAAATCCAGTCAGATTTATATTCAGGCAAATGCCCAGTCATTTTGCTACCTGAGTCAATCCAGGAAAGCACAGGGAATCCCCAACACCGGCAACTACAAACAGAGAACATTGCATGAGAATTTTTTGCACCAAAGTTTTTTTGCAAAGTTCCAAACAACTGAAACAGTTACTTCAAAAACTAAAACATGACCAACAAGGCATCACTTACATGAGTGAGAAGAAAGGAAGTGAAGAATCTTATCAACAAAAAGGTTTTGTCATCAGGAAGCTGTTGAAAGAACGTACAAATCGCTCGCTGTAGAGACTGATGATGACTTCGCTTTTGAAAATCAATGAAATGCTCTTGCGAAAAAGCAGAAGTATCAGTCCATGCTTAAAGAAAGACCATAAAGAATACATATTACAATGCTGTCATCAAACCAGCTCTCTTATACGGCTTTAAAATTTGGTCACCGCATCTAAGGAGCACCTGAACAACATTTTTTGACTACAGAAAAGAGGATCATCTTGGACACAAAACAATGCTCGTGTTCACTGCCCTTGTTCAACACGTTAAATTTGCTACCTTTCTATCAAGATGCATACATCGACAGATGCACATTGATTCGCAAGAGAACACAAAACACCTGAATACCAGCACTATGCTTCAACTGAATTCTGATGCCTACTCCAGAAATACACGTTTCAACAAACTAAACCTATGCTGCCCCATATACAACAACTACTGAAGGGGGTGAACATTCTCATTTAGATCAATTGAAGACTGGAATAACATGGAGAAAGCGCTCATAAACTCTAAGGACAAAAAGTTTCGGAGTCTAAAAAACACTCTTTTAGAAAGACAAAGAAAGTAACAAATTTGACAAGCCATTTAAGATTTTTTATTAATCAAAATAAACTGTTGTTTATTAATTTACTTTTTAGAATAACACTTAATGGTATTGTATATATTATAGAGAGAGACCTATTTTCTGAACTGGTTAGAATAATTATTCTAGAGTGCTCAACTTTTCAGGGGCAATTTATGCCAAATTGATATCTCACAAACACTACCATTGAAGAGGAGCAGTGTACAGCACCTGCTGTGACTCAGAAAATACAAAATGTTATTGCTGCCCGTTCCATTCCTGTTGATAAAGTAATGAGTTTTGGAAGTGATGGGGCATCCATCATGACAGTTGGGGGAGTGAGCACACTTCTCAAGAAAGAGAACCCATTTATGATAAATACTCATTGTATGGCTCAGTGTTTGGCATTGTGTACTAGCCAAGCTGCCAATCAAGTAGAAAAAATGGAGAAGTACAGACAATTGTTAACAGATCTGTACTATTACTTCTCTAAATCTGCAAAACGTGTTGCTGGGCTAAATGCTATTCAAGAAATACTAGACAGCCCACAGTTGAAGATAAAGGAGATGCATTCAGTTCGGTGGTTTGCTTTCTATAGTGCCCTAGAAACTGTTTACAGGTCATGGGACGCCCTTGTAACCTATTTTGCTGACCACAAGAATGATGCAAAGGCAGTAGGCTTTCTCAAGAAATTAGCTCAGGTTGAGAATGTGGCAAACAGCATATTTCAGAAAGAGGATCTAGATGTTTCAATCATCCAGGCGTGCATTCCCACCACCCTTGGTGAAATTGCCAAAGTGAACGAGGGAAGTGGCTACTATATAAAGAAACTTGAGGAGTCTCTGAAACAGGATGAGTCTGAGAAGTGGCATATGGGTGCTGGTGGCCATGAAATTTCATATTCAGAAACTCAAAAAGCTCAGGCTATCAAAAGCAGAGATGCTTTTATTGACAATCTCACCGAGCAGATAACTGCTAGATTTCCTCAGGAATCACAGGCTCTTGCTGATGCATTTGCAATCTTAAGTCTGAGAGGAGTGTCTTTCATGACAGCTGAAGACCTTTCGCATTATGGAAATAATAAGTTACTGAAACTGTTGAATCACTATGGATCAGACAAGGCAAATGTGGTCAGAAGAAGAGTAATTCCTGCTGTAGTTGATCCTATGAAAACCAAGATGGAATGGTCTTTATTAAAAGATGTTGTTCAGGAGCAGCAGTACCCAACTGGCAAGTTATCCATGCTGTGGAGTTGTATTTTCAAGTTTCATCCAGACACCTTTCCAAATTTGCTGAAGTTGGTACAGCTGGCCCTCACTCTTCCACTACAAACAGCCGATGTTGAGAGAGGATTTAGTGCTCAAAACTTAATTAAAACGGCCCACAGATATCGAATGGAGTAAAACACAGTTGACAATCTCATGACAATTAGTGTAGAGGGGCCTGCAGTTGAGAGGTTTCACTTTAAACAGAGCTGTTTTCTCATGGAAAAGAAAAAAGGAAAGGAGAATTTTCAAGAAATGAGCTTTAAACTTGTTACTGCAAGGGTAGCAGCCCATCCCGCCTAAACCTTTTAAAGTTTTAACGCAATTTTCTCTTCCATTGAAGCAATGAATTAAAACTGTTAAGCTTTGCTTTGACTTCGTCCAAATTAAAAACCAACATAACTTTAGGCTGTTCTTGCCTGGAAAAGAAATACAAAAATTCTGTTTCATCAGGTTTCTGTTCAGTGTTGAGACAGTTTAACTCAAGGCTGTGTACCTACTGGAAACCCACAGATACTGATGCAGTACTTGTTTCTCATCTTTCAAACAAAAGCTGTAAACTCAAAGAGCGGAAGAATGCTGTAACACATAGAAAAACAGATACAGGTAACACACAATAACTGTTTGTTATATGACTTTCTAGTCCATTTCTAAGATGAAAGTTAAAAAAAAATATCTGTTGAAGCAAGGCAAATACATTTGTTATTGAATAACCTTGCTCTTCTCTAAAAACAGACTTTAATTAAGTTGTGCATTTGTTTTGATGATAACAATACTATACCCAGTTTTGTTTTTTATATTAAATAGGACACAAATTTAGTGTCCCTTAAAAAACTGAAATGTCCCCCTGAAAATTGTTGACTGGGACACACTGTCCCCCTCGATGGAAATCCTGGATCAGACACTGTTAGGGTCAAACATTTTGCAATCTTTGAATGAAAGGGCATACTTATGTCCTTCTAAACCATAAGACTTCCTTGAGCCCTATGTTTTGTAGCTGCTGTGCACATATTTATCCTACAATTGTATCTTCCAGGTTATAATTCCCTTTTAGATTTTATTCCCATTTGGATTCCTCTATAAAGACTTTCTTGTTTATTTTATGTTCATTTTTCTCACAACTATTTGGGTTACACTTCCTTCTTCGTTCTTTCCTTCTGTGCCGTCCAGCTACATGTATTTTTTGACAGTTTTTTTCCCATTCTGCAGTCACCAATCTTTACAGCGTTAGTTTTTTGGCCATCAATTTTTGGAAAACATGAATCTTGCACTCTGTCACGAGAAGCACCACAGGTAGCCCAAGTTCACTATGAGAGCTCTGAGCAACATTGTCCATTAGCTAATTAATTATTCATATGGCAACGATTATAAGATTATAAAGCGTTGTATGAGAATTATCCTATTTCTCCATAATTGAGCGAAACGTGCTTTAAATTGTTCCTTTTAAGCTTGCATTTAGTATTTTATTATGTTTATTTGTGTGTTGACCGTGTTTCAGGCCTCTTAGGATATACTGAGAACAACACTACCCTTCTAGGCTAATTAATTATTCATACAGCAAGAAAATTACAAGACGTTGTAGGAGAAATATTTTTTGCTCACTAAATTATTAAAGTGTGCATTGAATGTCGCCTTGAAGCTATACCTTTAGCCTTTTCTTGTTTTTCTTTGTGTTCTCACTGCATGGCAGACCTCCTAGGCACTGTTTAATACCTCTTTGAGTGACAGTTTTTCACCCAGATGACAGTAGAGAGAAGAGAAGAGAAGGTTGGCAAACTTCTCTCGACCGGCTCCGCTCTCGGCGGCGATAAATTCCGTGACTTTTGCGACATGGAGACATTTCTGCCAGAACCAAATGTCCTGATAGACAACGCACATTTTCCATCATTCACATCAGCAAAATTCCCATTTTGAAGGTCCTAAATCACCGACGAAGTGGACAATTCACAGCCGTGGTTAGGCGAGTCAAGAGCAGACCCGCAACGCACTCCAAAAATCAAGTCGACAATTTCAAACCGCCCCGGGCTGGCAGGGTCAAATTGTTCTGAAAAGAGACCCTTGTCATTCTTGTTTCGGGTGAAGATGCCCATACAACACGTTCTGACCACTAGAAACCTGACCGGCCTGTCGTAATTCAGAACCTGGCCATGACCTTGGAGCAGATGAACATCTATTCATTGCAGTTACGTTTGTCTGGTATTCTTAGAGGGGGCTGTTAGGCCTTCTTTGAGACGTTTGAGCAGATGCTGATTAACCTCCAGTTTACACAAAGTAACCTCCAGTTTTTCCTCTCTTAAAATACCTTGATTAATTAGGTCTTTAAAATATTGGTGCTCACACTGTCTTTCACAGTGAATTTGCCGGTCTGCGGAAAACCGCGAAGAATTTAGGACTGGGTAACACAATCGATAAAGAATCAGTTAAAGTTCGTTTCTTTATTTGCTCTCTCAGTGGCTAAACTCAACATTAAGATCTTTGAGAATACTGGTTGTATCATGGAAAAAGACCAAGAGGGCACTCAATACCAAAGCCACAAATGGCCGGCATGACTGCTGGCCATTGTGAAATAAAAATATTTTCGGGAGATTATTAAAAATTAAAATCCTATCATGAATATCACTGCCGTAAACACTGTTCACAAATATACTAATCTGGCTGGGTAGTTTAGGTCGTTCTCTACAGTAATCTTTAAGATTATACCAGTCCGGCCTAATAAAATCTCATTAAAAAAAACTTATTTAAGAATAAGTAAGCCTAAAATAGGCAGGGTGCTTAGGAAAATTGCTTATTAAACTCAACTTCAACTCATAATAGTAAAATTATTGGATAACATATATACAAGATACATTAAAAAAGAAAAGTGTTTCTCAATGTTAAATTGTAAAGGGAATTAATGGTCATTAATTAACCTAATCAACAGAGAAACAAAGCAACAGAAAAACTGAAAGCATAGCTATTGAAACCAGAGTCAATGGAAAGGACAGACTACAAAGTAAGTAAAAATGTTTTGATTTAAAACTAAAAAAACGGTAACTGGTTAAGACATTGAGTCCACTTGCATAATTTTTGCCTTATCAAGACATCCTTCGTGAGAAGAGACTACACAATATGCATGCTTAAAATGTCACCAACGCATCAGATCTATTAAGAACCAGTAGGGTTTTGGAAATTGGTGTGTGTAAATCTTTGGTTTTGTATTCAGTTTTTGGTTTCAATCGAAACGCACAGGGGTTTTTCACTTTTAGGTGCTTTTTTGAGCGGTTTTTCGGTTTCTTATAGTCCCCAATCCCCCCTAATTGCGATGCCGTGATTTGTGTAAGATACAAAAATTTCTTCACAGTGAAGAAAAAATCATAAAAGCCATGCCTACTCTAAAAAAAACTCAACTAAACTTGAAAAAACTGTAGTTTCATGTGCCTATTAGTAATACAGCAGATATTTTTTTAATGTCATAGATCACCACCTTGGTCATTTACAACGGAAAAATTTGAGTCATACTCAAATGATAATAATAATAATAATAATAACTTTATTACTGTGAAGATGAAATAATCAACATGTCACGAGCGTGGGACAAAGAAAAAAATCTGAGTCTCCAACAGGATTCGAACCTATGACCTCACAAACAGCGGGCGAGCACTCTATCCACTGGGCAATGGAGAACTCATGGAGAGCGAGGCCATATACTAAGTTCATATTTGACATGTGTCCTGCAAACTGCTAGGATCAGCAATGTCAAGATCATACTTTATGGTTTCAGATTTGCTAGGATCAGCAATGTCGAGTTTGTACTTTATGGTGAAGAATGAAAGATGGTAAATTTTAAGCTCGGTGAACAAATGTGAAGATGAAATAATCAGCATGTCACGAGCGTGGGACAAAGAAAAAAATCTGAGTCCTCAACAGGATTCGAACCTATGACCTCCCAAACACCGGGCGTGCGCTCTATCCACTAAGCTATAGAGAACTCATGGAGGATGAGGCCACATACTGGGTTCATATTTGACATGCGTCCTGCAAACTGCTAGGATCAGCAATGTCAAGATCATACTTTATGGTTGAAGAATGAAAGATGGAAAATTTTTAAGCTGGGTGAACAAATGTGAAGATTAACATTTAATCTTCAATAATCAGCATGTCACAAGCATGGGACAAAGAAAAATAATCTGAGTCCCCGACAGGATTCAAACCTAATATATAGATTTAGCCAGGGATAAAGGCGAAGCTCCCATTAATAAATTTATGATATAAATCGAACAATAAAGTTGTCATTTACAAATCAGTTAACTTAAGGGAACATTCATGTGACTTTTGAGGGAAAGGCTAAGTGATTTTAGAGTGAAACATCTTACATTGAGTTGGTAGCCTTATATGTACACCCAAAAAATAGCAATCACCTTCGATCACAATCAATGGCTCTTGATCACAGTAGATTAGGCCTGGAAAACAAATTCTTGCAAAAAATCAGGCCGAATTTTTTGCTTTCAACAAGTCTACTTTACAAAATCTTGCCAACAAATCTGGGGGTGTGTAAACCAACCTTTTCTACTTTTTATACATCACAGCTGAGGTAAAACAGTACTATTTATCTACAGACCTCGGACAGAATGCAGTATTTCACAATTTTTCAAGACAAATTGCACTCAGTCAATATTCAGGACGACCAATAGTGGGCTTTTAGCAAAACCATTCAGAAAATTTCCAAAATCACCTATACGGCCAGCCGGTTCTCACTTTTGACAAGCGCCAAATTTGCAGTGAACATTAATAGAGTTACGCTTCACCATAATAAAGAATTTACTTCTATTTTTTTATTTAATGGTTTTATAACGATGTGTATAATCTCATGAAGGGTTTGATACGCACAGCATTTTGAGTACTCCTGCAAGCGATGTTCATGAACGACTGAAACAAACAGCACAGAAATTAAAATTGCAAGAGAGACTACTAGCAATTAATAAAAAAATATAATTCGGTGAAACATTTACAGAGACAACAATTTTCATTCACAAAAACAAGTACTAAAGTGTTTCTAAAAATGCTGAGTCTTAAAGCTTCTGAAGTTTAAGTTTATGTTTTAAGCCGGCCTCCCGGTGTTGGCTTTTTTTAAAGATGAACTCAAGGCAAGAAAATCGCTC